CCTATGATGATACGGAGTATTATTTTACTCATCATATTATTGTACGGAGTACATATTTATCTCTGAAGGAAATTGCATGTTCTACACTTTTATATATGTTGTAATACTTCGCACTTTTACCAATTAATTGTGAATTTGGTGTTGGCTGATGCATCATAACTAAAAATCAAGTTTGGCTGATATAATGTTGTAATAGTTAGCACTTTTGCCAATTAGCACTTGCCAATGACTCATAACTAGCATATGAAAGTGCACGAGCAATGCCTAAAATCAAGTTTATTCGGATTTTGGACTAGTGATTACTATGAAATAATAGAGTTTTTTCCGGAATAATGTTGATTAAATAAATAATTCCCAAAATACTGTTGGGTTAAAAATAATTCCCAAAATACTGTTGGAGTTAACCGTGGTTAAGCAAAGCCGCCACTTGAAGTGGCGGCTCTTCTCTTACAGTACAAAAGCCGCAACTTGCAGTGGCGGCTCTTCTCTTATAATACAAAAGCCGCCACTTGAAGTGGCGACTCTTCTCTTACAGTACCACATCAGCTTATTCAACCAGAATCAAACACAAAAAAACTGCTCTGTGCTGTACAATCCACTCAGAAACATCAACCAGGTGCTATTTATAGTCAATATGAAGCACTAAAAAACAAAACATATCTGAGACACAAAACGAGTCAATGAACTACATTGGATTACAATACTAGAAATATCACATAAAGTTGATAATTCGATCAGTCAATTCATGTTTAACACAATAATGTAAAATACAAATATCACAAGTCATGTGATCATCATCATAAAGCTCATGTTGTTGTGCTTGTGCCTGAGGTCGGGGGCGAGATGAGTGGTTTTTTATTGCTCATATAGCTATGTTCGTGGGAGCACATTCATATTGGTAGACTTGTCATACTACGATATCATGTGATAGATGGTGCTCCTTTGCATGATGTTTTGGATATGCGCGGTCGATCTGTACGTGGAACACATCATGTCCGTGGTGATGACCCTTTGGATGACATACACTCATGAGATTCTATGACCATTGCCTCATGTTGGCCGAGAGCACACTGAGACATGGTGAATAAGTGTGCCCTTGATTTGTTTTGATGTAGTGGAGCATCACTTTCCTGATCGCGTACTATGACAGTTCGGGTTACACAGGGTATTTCCTTGCCTTGTGATACTTCTGTGGACTTGCACATGATCGACAGACAAGTGAAGCACACCGAAGATTGGGGGATGCACCATATTCAGTATATCACCATGTAGGATGAGAGAGTGGCGTATATAGTGGACGGGATTCCATCAGTAGTCCCCACAGTCTCTGCAGATTTCATGAGATGATATCACAACATTACATGAGTGTTCATCTCTCCCAGTTTTCGTCTACCCACCGATCATTACCAGCCTAGCTCAATCTCTCTTCATATAACAGTACACAATATATTCACATAAACCACTTTATTTATTTATTTATTTATTTATTTATTTATTTATTTATTTATTTATTTATTTATTTATTTATTTATTTATTTATTTATTTATTTATTTATTTATTTATTGAGGAATGTTCATGTCAGGCCGGCCTGACGGGCTGCCCCGTCCGGCCGAGCCCGTTTGGGCACCTTCCCGGTGGAATTTTTTGATGAAATTTTTTGAGCATGTTCCTCATCAAGTCTAGTTTGTCCATACCAAATTTCAGCTCAAAATTCGATCGGGAAGGTTGTCAAATGATTTTTGCAAGTTAACTGGTCCGGAATATGTATTTTCCGGACCAGTTAACGTGCAAAAATCATTTGACTACCTTCCCGATCGAATTTTGAGCTGAAATTTGGTATGGACAAACTAGACTTGATGAGGAACATGCTCAAAAAATTTCATCAAAAAATTCCACCGGGAAGGTGCCCAAACGGGCTCGGCCGGACGGGGCAGCCCGTCAGGCCGGCCTGATGAGAACAGCCCTCTTTATTTATTTATTTATTTATTTATTTATTTATTTATTAATTTATTTATTTATTTATTTACGTGTTTATCATTAATAACCATGCTTTGATTACAGACACCCGGGCTCTACATACTATCCGTGATAGAGCGACTGATGTACCTAATGAGGGGCGAGATGTACAGGCCTACAGGGATATCATGAGGTATGCTCGGGCATTGCCGCACTGTGTGATGATGTATTGGGTCGAGTGTAGGCCATGCATATGTGGTCGCGTCTCAATATTCCACGGCATCTACATCCATAGCAGGGTCTTCTCAGGCACGACGACGTGAAAGAGTGGTTCTTCAGCCTCGTAACTAACACTGACGTCCCCAACATCAGGCACAAGCACAACCACGTGACTAAATGAGCTTTATAATGATAATCATGTTGGCTTGTGATATACTCCCTCCGTCCCGCTATGATTGTCCCATTTTACCATTTCGGTTCGTCCCACTAAGATTGTCCTATACCTTATTTGGTAAAGTTTGTGTGGTTCTAAATCATTCCTACTTTATTCTTTATCAATTCAATATCAACCACATAATCTCACTTTTATTAATAATTGTGCCACTTTCTTTTGTCCCAAACATAGGGGGGTGGAGGTAGTATGTACTTTACATTATTGTGTTAAACATGAATCGCCTGATCGAATTATCAAATTTATGTGATATTTCAAGTATTGTAATCCAATGTAGTTCATTGACTCGTTTTGTGTCTCGGATATGTTTTGTTTTTGAGTGCCTCATATTGACTTTAAATAGTAGTTGGTTAATGTTTTTTAGTTGATTGTATAGTACAGAGCAGGCTTTTGTGTTTTTTTCCGGTTGAATAAGTTGGTGTGGTACTGTAAGAGAAGAGCCGCCACTTCATGTGGCGGCTTTTGTGCTGTAAGAGAAGAGCCGTCAATTCAAGTAGTGGCTTTCTTAACCACGATTAACTCCGGCAGTATTTTAGGAATTATTTTTAACCCATCAGTTTTTTGGGAATTATTTATTTAATTAGCATTATTCCAGGAAAAAACTCGAAATAATCTAGAATTTTTAATAGACTTGTGCTTTAGTTTTTTTGGAGATTGAAAAATTGGTATAAGGAAATAATAATTGAGAAAAATGTAAAGTGTGAAAAATAGCACACATATAAGCCAATCAAATAAAGATGTGAACCAATGACTAATGCATCATCAATATTGGTGCATCATCAATGACTAATGCAAAAAAGAATGTCAAAAAACACCGTTAGAAATAAGGATGGACCAGGACCGGGACCAGGTCGGATCAGGCTTCGGATCGGGACTGGATAGATTTGGGATTAAAATTTTCAAGCTTGGTATTGGCCCGAGTTTGTACCGGGACTAGGCAGGACCGAGCCTAAACAGTACCGGGTCAAGACAGGCCTGGAGCCCTGGACAATACATTTGTGAAAATAGTGCAATCAAGCCAGGACCGGCTCGCGACCAACCAGACCGGGCCTAAAAAACCAGATCGAAGCCCACCCTTATAGCCACCAGGCAGAGATAGTGATGGACCCGGGTCGGGTCCGAGTCGGGCCTAGGCCCGGGCGGGCCGGCGGTTCAGTATTGGTGGACCCGGGACCGGCCCAGGTAGCCACCGGGTCCGATCTGGGTCGGGCCTCCGGTTTGGGGTTTTTTATTTTTGCTTTTCTAATCCCTCTTCCTCCCGCCCTCACCCCCCCCCCCCCCCCCCCTCCTAACCATCAAGCCCAACCGTCCGGGCCTCGGTTCATGAAAGGGGAGACCCAAAACCGGCCCGGTAACCCCCGGGTCCGGTTCGGGCCGGGCCGGGCCTCGGTTCAACTTAATTTATTTTTTTGGCTTTTCCTAATTAACCCCCAACCCTCCCCCCTCCCCCCCAAACCACCTCAAATGGCCCAAAATACCCAGCCCAACCCAAAAACTTAAAAAAAATCCAAAAAAAAAGGAAAAAATAAATAAATAGGCCCGGACCGGGCCCGAGCCCGGCCCGGAACCCCAATGGGTCGGGCCTACCCGCACCGGTCCCTAACCGGGACGGCGGCTCGGGCCGGTTCAAACAGTGATCGGGCCGGGCCGAGCGGAGTCCACCCTAGGTGGAACCCCAAAAAATGAAAAGAAAAAAACAAACAAAAACAAAAAAAAAAAACAAAAAAAAACACAAATTGGCCCGGACCCCAGCCCGACCCAGTCGGACCGGTTCGCCAAATGTGAGACCCGAGCCCGGACCCACCCTCCCCCAGGCTTAGGCCCGACCCGGACCCGAGAATCGGACCGGTCCCGGTCCCACACAGTAGCGGGCCGGGTGGCCCGACCCGAGTCCACCACTAGGCCAAGACCAAGCCAAGCACCGGGCTTAAACAGGTCCAGGCCGAATCAGGCCTAAACAGTACCAGGCCCGGGTCAGGCCAATCCATCCCTAGTAGTCATGGACCCAGTTCTTAGGTCCGGGTCCAAGTCGGGCCTAGGCCTGGTGGGGGGGGGCGGGTCCGTGCTCAGGTCTTGTATTTGGCAAACCGGCCCGGCCGAGTCGGGCCCGGGTCCGGGCTGAATTGATGTTTTTTTTTCATTTTTTGGGGATACCCGGGTTGGGCTTGATGGTTAGGAGGGGTTTGGGGCAGTGGGGGGGCTAGGAAAGCAAAAAAAATGACCAAACCGGAGGCCCGGTCCGGACCCGGACCGGACCCGGTGGCTACCCGGGCCGGTCCCGGGCCTTCCTTCCCAAAAAAAAGCCCGGACGGGCCCGGCCCAGGTCCATGACCAATCCCTAATTAAAAACTTAGAATGTGTCAAAAAAACGCAGCCCTAAGCTTTTTTCACAACAATTAAATAATAAAACATTGTAGAACTAGGACAAATAGACCACCCTAAGGCTTAAAGTACACTACATTATACTATTATAGAACTTATTTACCCTCAAAAGTCACAACTTATGTATTTTTTTTAAGGAACACAGCTTATGTATTTAATTGTTCAAAAGAGGATTAGTAATATATTGATTTTCTGACATGTATTTCAGAAATATATTATATCATTCTCCCAAATTAAATTTCGAAAAGATTCGAAGACAAAACTACATAGTACTCCGTATAATTTAATGCCGCAATGTTGGTATATGTTTACAAGCCTAGCAGCCAATATTATACAATAATCATAGCATCGAAAGAATGTAACATTAGAGGTTCCTACTTTCCACTACAGGTGAGGAAGCCCACGTCGACATGTTCCTTAAAAATTGCTAATAAATTTAAAGAAGCATTTCCAGAGTACAAACAACTCCACAAGAACTAGTAAGGGTTATATCGGCCTCGCCCTTGACCTCGCCCACTGTCACTGCCGCCACTCCGCCTTACACCTCCACTTGAATTCCGTCCGCTGCTACCGAAGTTTGTTCGTGGTGCAGGTGGAGTGTGCATAACTCCTGGCTGTTGCCTGCCATCCAAAGACAGTTTCAGATCCAACTATATTCTTAATAAGATCCTAGTTTATCACTACCATTGGGCCAAACTTCTCCCCATTAAAATCTGGTCAGATGCTCTCTCAAGTCCATATTATACATTTATACTTTTTAGTTTTTACTATTAATGAAAATACTTACAAGACATATCCGATCCTTCCATCAGGCAAAAGCAATGGCATCATTGCCACACCAGCAGGCGGCGTGGCTCCTCTTCCATAAAGTAATTGCTGTAAAAGATTAATCTCTGTCAATGATTATGAAGAATTGAAGATAACCATATAACTTCCTGCCTCCCAAAAATAGTATTTTTCAAGCAAAGTAAAACTTTTATTTTCAGACCAATCAATCAAGGTACAAGCTTTTACAATATATGAATGGTCACTTGTACCCTAAAACAGCTTTCCGCGTGTCTTTAAAGGAAATTTACTTAAATATAAAAGTTGACTTCCAAAACTGAACTACTTTTGCACAAATAAGTTTCTGGAAACGTGACTCTGCTTCAAGGATAGAGTATGTCAATTTTTATTCAAAAAATTCAATTTTTATACTCAAGGAGGGAAAATAAATAATACTTCATTTATTCCAATGAGCTGGAATCACTTCAAAAATTTAAATAAGTTGCCAAAATGCTCCGTGTTTCTCAAAATATTGTTCTAGTTTGGATTTGGAATGCTTTGCTTGAGAAGGAAAGATGTGGTTGAAATTTGGATAGAAACAAGTGAAATGATGATAGACACATTTCATTCCTTACCACAAAACATGAAACTTATTTTTAGACAAACCAAAAGGAGCAAAAGAAGTTTATTTCATAGTGGAGGAGGTATAAGAACAGGCCAGAATTATTAGCATAAACTGAATTTTACATTAGCAATCTTCAAATCGGTTGAGAATCATACCTGACCGAGAGGTGCGCCGCGCACACCTATGGCGCCATAAGGACTCCCTCCCAATCCATATCCAATACGAGGTTGATAGGTTGGAGGTGCAACTCCTCTATTTGAAATTGACCCCCCACTACCACTCTGATCTGCCTGTGGCTTTGCGAGTGAGCAGTCCAGAACTTTACCTATTGTGGAAGCGGACATCATTGCAAGCATAGTAAATTCACCAGAGCTTATTACAATTTTTTCATGGAATAATAAATTCAAGTAACAAGAGCGAAAGAGTTCCAATCACCATCGATTTCATATTTCTCAGTGTTCTTCAGCGCTTTCATGGCACTAGATCTTTCTGCGAAGTGGACAAAACCATACCTGCTCTGTTCCTGCCCAGCTTTAGCTGGAGGTAGAACAACTTTAGTAATCTTCCCATGATGCTGGAATAAACTTTTTAGCTCATCTTGAGTAATTTGTTTGGGCAAGTTTTTTACATACACAGCTTTAACCTGAAGCAATGTAAAATTCCCTTGGTCATACACAACGTGTTCATACACAAAAGAGTATGTTGATCACTCAATTCAAACCAAAAGCTATCTTGATTAACCTTCCACTAGGAGTAAACCCTTTTTTATGTAAAATCAAATAAATTCAGACATGCAGCTCAATTCCGTTAGATTTCAAATTTTCAATATGTTGAACCGATGTCTCAGTAAAAACACACAGTAAATCATACTCGTCATCAGAACAACATAAATTACAGAGTTTGAAAAGACTTACTATTGTTTTCCCTATTTTTCTCTATTATGTATAGCGGTGTATTAAGTAAATCATACTCATCATCAAAATTTAAAAACCTAATGTCACAATGTGAGGGTGGTGTTGACAATTTGCAGGGGGGCTCTTCCTGGGAATTATACATTCTAGTGAATGTATTACCTAATGTGACTCTGATAAGTCAACATGCTCCTTCAGTAAGCCTGATACCGGGTACAGCCAGAGGCCTTGTGAATGATGAAAAAGAATTATGTGGAAAAAAAAGTATCACTTTTTTCACCAGGTTTTCTGGGGATAAAAAAAGTATCACTTTTTTCAGCCAGACATGACACACTTTTGATTTTGTGAAAGAATAAGTATGTAAAAATGTCAGTCCAACACAGAGTGGTATACCCAGAAGAAAAGCAATAACCCACAAATTATATTGACGATGGAAAAAAGCATTATAAATGACACCAAGTAGTTTAGTCAGGTTGCAGCGGTTGCAAAAAGAACTAAATATGATAGCAATACTATTTGCCCAATATTAGAAATTAGACATTAACAAAAAAAAAAACAAATGGAAAGAAGTTGAATGTCAACAGAATATTTCAGGTGGCAACCTGAGAAGCAGCAGAAGAATCTGTGTTTTTTGGATCAGCCCAGCTCACGGTTGGGGCATTATCCTCAAGCTTAAATTTTGCGTCAGACATTCTCAGTCGTGAATATTCAGCACATGCATTATTATAGTACTCAATGAAAGCAAAACCACGATTTCGACTTGAGTTCTGCGGATCCTGCAGCAAGACTTAAAATTATACATGATTGAAAATGATTTGGACTTCATATGAAAGTGTATACCAAACTATTCACGCATGGACATGCATGGAAATTTTTTAATGATAGGAAGTGCAGACAAACCTTCACCATTTCCACATTAATAACACCAGGCCCGGTCTTGTTGGCAACCCTTTTAAGATCTTCCACCACCCAATGTCTAGGAATATTACCAATGAAAAGACGATTTTTTGCTTGAGCTGCAGAGCACTTTACCTTTCTTCCCTAATAAACAGTTAAAAAATATATGATGTGAGAAATGACTAATAAGAACGCTTGAATGCTGTGCAGCAAGGGGTTTTTTGTTAGCAAGATACATACTCTTAATGTTTGAAAAATGAATAATGGCAATATAAAAATATACAAGTTCCAACAGAGAAAGAAACAGTTGACAACAACAAATACTCTGCAACTTACATTATAAATTATAGATAAAACATGCTTAGATACGTGGAAGAAAAAGAAGAATTCACTCACCTTGAATTCAGTATTATTTAGCTCCTCAATTGCCTTGGAGGCCAATTCTTTTTCCCTGAAAGTGACAAAAGCATATCCTTTGTTCTGATTAGGTTCCTTTCCCTTCATTATCCTAACCTGTAACCCATAAGCAACAACCATGTAAATTTAGAAATTAAACATATCACACGTAGTGCATTGGAAAAGAAGTTACCTCCACAACTTCCCCAATGGAGTCAAAAAATTGCCTCACATCAGCTTCAGATACATCTTGACTAATACCACCTAAGTATACTTCTGACCCATGAGGTGGAAGTGCAAGAAGCTCAGCATGCTTTTTATCATTACTATTTTCTTCTACTTCAAGATCAGCATCCAGTCCCACATCGTCTGTATGCTTTAGTCTACCAGAATCCTCTTCCTCCTCTTCTTCTTCCTCCTCCTCTTCTTCCTCATCTTCTTCTACCTCTTCTTCCACCTCTTCTTCCACTTCTTCATATTCAACCTCTTCCTCTACGTCTTCGTTGTCTCCATCAAAGTCAATTTGCTCTTCAGCCTCAATTATCTTTTCAGGTTCCCTTAAAACAGAAGAGGCAGCACCAGCTCTCGTCCTCGGCATCTAATATATCTAGAAAGATAAGTTTGTGCAGCAACTCTGACGGAAGCACAGAAGCCAGAAGATTTTGGAATAAAATGAAGAAAAATGTGGAAAGGTGGGAATAAAAATAAAAACCAAGTGGATTTCCAAAGGGGGGTCTCGAGTGAATTTGCTCCATGAGGTATGAATGAAGTTTCAATGTGATGAGCTCAATTACATAAAGGGTTAGCAAATACTACAAAGATACAAACAAAGACAATTAAGAGAGAATGCTGAATGAATGAATTTATCAGAGGGTGACATCTCTCAGCAGGTGCATAAATGAAGCAATGAATTTCTGAAATGTAGATATTGATGGCTGGAAGGTCAATATTACAGCTAGGATCAATGTATTCACAAACAAATAGTAACGGAAAGGAGAAAAGAGAAGAAGAAAAACAGCAATGATGTGAAACAGAGCTACAGGTGATATGATTTTGGAAGGAATGTTAGTTAGCAACAAATCCAGGCATCCAAATGAAAATTATAGAATATATGTGGACATCAACAGAATGCTCATTGGGATTTGGTCAAATCTAATGCCCAAACCTGTATATGATACCTCCCTGCAGTAAATTAATGCACATTCTGTGAATGTACTGGTACAAGAGTAGCATCAAATGCATTTGAATGCATATTCTCAATCAGATCACTCCGTAAGAAAAATCTAATGCCGCAATGAGTGAATGAATTCACATTTTCCCTACATGAATTATGTCAATTGACAAAGTTCACTACTTCAATGTAAACTAGATATCGTAGAGATTGTAGTAGAGTACAGAGTTAAGTTTCTTAAACCAAAAAACATACCAAGCAACTTTGCTTAGCATTGCAGAACTTAAAGCAAATTGTCTCTTTTCTTAAATACTACATGGAAGTAAAAACATCAATGTTTGCAGTTTCATAACCACATTTTAAGGAAGCTACCAAGGATTGCACCTTGAGGATCCCTCAGAGGTAAAGGTATAGAGAATATCATCTAGGAAAAGCTTACAAACTTGTTTGGTACAGTGACTTATAACGCTAGTATTAGACTATGATTAAAAAGGGACCAGACCAGCCAGGTTGAACAGAAACTGGTGACCCGGTCTGAATACTGGGTCACTCAATGAAAAACCCAGTAGGCCAGTATGGGCAAAAAGTCAAGAACTGAAAAACCTTGACGACTTGGAATACCCCAGTCAATCTCATACATGGTGTAAAAAGGCTCTTACGGGGCGCGCTTTGAGGCATGCCAAAAGGTGAGACGTACAGAGGAGGTAACAGGCTTGGATTTTTTTCCAGAGGTCAAGAGGCTTACACCTGAAAAGTTGAGGCAAGCGGCTTTAAGCCATTTTGTGAGACACAATTGCCTTTGTTTTTATCTTTTTAATGGGTTGTAACTTAAGAAAGGCCCAGTGTATTTATATAATAAAAGGCCATATGTTAAACATGTTTTCATAGTCCACACTAAACCCCTAACAAGTCTTAGTAACAGTTATGTACGTTATGAACGTGGTTTATTAATCTGCAATGAGTTCTCACATAAAATGCGGAAGAAGATGAGCTAGCTGGGTGAAGAAAATGGTTGTTGGTTGGAAAAAAATTGAAAACCAAAATTCATAAATAGATATAGAGGAGACTGGAGACCCAAAAGACGGTCGACAGAGGATTACAGAGAGAGATTCAAGATATAAAAGTAAAGAGAAAAAATATAATCCCTATAGAACATTATTAGATGGAGCCTGGGACGAAGGAACAAAATCTAGAACTTACCCTTGTCATCGCACTGCTGTCACCAAGACAGGGAGGAACCCTGCTCAGTGGTCACAATGTAAGCAATAGATAATTACTATTCTTTATTGTGATGTCATTACCGGCTGCAACAAACATACGATGGGAGAGTGCGAAATAGGATTTTCACATTGTGAGGTAATTGTACAAACTTTTTCCATGTTGGTTGATAATACTTAAATATAAGAATTGCTATTTTTAGGAAGTAAATATTAGCACATTTACATTTCAAAACTAAGTGTCTATGTGTACTGCAAAATTTACAACTGATTCCTAAGACACTTAAGGCATCTCAGATTCATTCGTTCATCCTATTTTTAACAACTGTTAAGCGTTCTTTCAAAAAAAACTGTTAAGCGTATAACAAAACTAACTTTTCAAAATACCACATGTGTTTTAGGATTTGGTTATTTTGATAAATATTGGCGAACATTTTCATGTAAAGAAAGCTCATTGTATACCATCTACAATCATCTAAGTCTAATGGATGAAGTACAGAATACTAGGAAAGGGATTGTCCACCAATGATGAAGCTTATGGGTCACATACAACAACTAGATAAGGAAGGAGCAATCTACATATGTTATTCTTTTAGCATTTTTTTCACTAATTACGGAGTATAAGATAAAGAGGATAATATTTTGTGCCTTCCTTGTCTAGTTGTAAATAGGATACGCCAACGCAAGTAGATATGGAAATTTTCGCTTGAGAAACAAACAACTGAAAGATTATTAAACAAAAAACTATGAAATTATATTTCCCAAGCCAGCATATTTTCAAGGATAGATGAAGCATTCGACTGGCATAATATTGGTGAAACGTTATAATTAGTATTATATTAGATAGATTGTATTAGAATACTTGGTTAAACAAAACAAAATTCTAGATAACGTTAATGTATCTACAATAAAAGACTGAAAGTATTCACTTCCCAAAATCATCTTAGGGGGTGTTTGGAACTGATTCTGCTTCTATTTTTAAGTGAGAATCAGAATCAGAATTTTCTGCTGTATGAAAAAGTGATTCTGTCTGAAGTGTTTGGTATTGATTCTGCTCTATGTAATAGAGAATCAGTTTTGAGTGTTTGGATAAGCTACTTTTCCAAACTGATTTTTGTGTAAATTTACCAAAAGGACACTATTGCTGCTGTGAAAATTCCATAGACTTATGGAATTGAATGTCGTTCCCAGTTTTGCTAGGCTTAAGTGAAAATCATATGCTTATTAGTTATTACTAAACCAAAGAAATTATTTGCAAAAAAAAAAAAAGATGAAAGACCAACACAATAATTCGAATTGAGAGTATACCTTGAAATTATTACTAAATCAGTTAAGGTCTTTGTATTGGACTTGAGAAAATCAACAAACTCACAAGTTGAGAGTATACCTTGAAATTGAAGCCGAGAGATGAAGGTTGGAGAAACCGTCGCTGGAGAAGCCAAGCCCCGACCCAAAGGGTTGCGTCGCCTGGAGACAATTGTCGGAGAAGCTCTCGCAGGAGAACCCCAAGCGCCGGCCTAAAGGGTTTGTCGCACAGAGCCACAAAGCCGATGGAGAAGAGAAGCTCTGGAGGGTAGAGAATGCCTAAAACGAAGGATATTTTAGGAATCGGAAGCTGATTTTCAGAAGCTGGTAGTATACACGTTTCTCCCAAACTGATTCTACACCTATTTTAACAGAAGTTTTTTAATCAGATCCAAACACCTTCCAAACTGATTCTGCTTCAAAGCGCTCCTTGGGGCAGCAGAATCAGCTTCTAAAATCAGATCCAAACACCTTCTAATACAAATGGATGTTTAGACTAATTGACCGACACATGTGTACACTTACAATCTAAATGGATGACACAGAGCGATACATATACGCGTATACATAGACCTATAAAGTATAAACACAACAAATAGTGGAATATACCTTCTCAAGGTAAACACAATTTTTTAAGAAGACCAAAGGTGATGCAACGTTGACGCCTTATACCTTCACCAAGCAAGGATCTTGTAACCTAGAAAAAACAAAACCCAATAAAACAAAGATAAGCCGCCAGTATAACAAAATCCCAAAAAGAACATTTTACAAGTCTTCAATTAAAGAAAAA